AATTGAATTGAATTGAATTGAATTGAATGGTGCTGTGATCCCCAGTTACCAGTACTGGTTGTAGGGATACATTGAGAGTGGTTGTTGTTCCCCTTCACGGGGTTGTGCCGTGTTAGAGCCGCTGTAATCAGACTGATCTCTACTGTAATGTCCTGAGCAAGCATCGACCTGTGGGACTGAAAACCAATATGCTAAAACATGCAGCTCCACTAATGACCCGAAAAAAGAGGCAATCCCAAACCAGCGCTCCTCATAAGATTTAACTTCCCAAGATGCAAAGACTTCCCAGATTTGATGGTGATTAAGTGCACTGTCAGAGAACTTGACCAGTCAGGTCAGTCTGAGCTTACCATCCACAAAATAATCAGAGTGCCAGAGACCACAGAGGTTAAAGTCCAGCAGGAACCTGACAGAGACACAAAAACACCTTGTTAAAGACAAAAAAAGCACCTGACATCCATCAGCAGTGCTGTGAGGTAAACTGTGAAACAACTGAGGCACGAAGCAAAACTTAACTCTGCAGGTTTCAGTCAGTAAAAGTCTTTTGGTTCGGTGATTTAAAAGTTTGAGTCCAGCAGTCTTTATGATTTATCTTTAAGCTTTAAAAATCTCTCGGTGGTGGAGAGGTTCAGTTTGCAGTTAAAATGATTTATGCATATTAAAAATGTGAACCACGCACACTGGCTCATTATCCACACGTTGTATTTCACACCCTGAAGACATGAAGCGGACAGAAGTCTCCCTGGACTTACAGTGTGTTTGCTGTTAACATCATTATGAAGACGTTTCTAATATAATAAGAACAGAAGCACATTAATAGTGACTGAGAGATGTAGATGTTATCCTATGTTATACCTTTACAACTACAATGAAGTTGGAAACTGCATACAGTACAAAATATACGATAATATATTTTTTTGTCTTGTTACGGCCCTAGCAGGGCCTCCTCCTGAAGGTGCCTGTGTGGGCGTGTCCCACCACCTCTTCTGCCTGAGGTGCCACCTTTCCCTTTTGTGCAGCTGACTCTCGTCAGTAATCAAGGAGATTTAACCCTTTAAGACCTACCATAGAACCAAGTCCGCCAGAGCTTATATTATAT